ATTGGTGATTTAGCTAGGGTAGAATTTTTTAACAATTGTTACTTGTTGAAAGGCAAATAGCATTGAGTTGTAAAAATTACGTCATAGTTACCATAGCACTGGAAAACCGCCTTAATAGTTAAAAATGCCATAGTGCCCTTAGGGGCAGGCTTTCCACTTTGATGGAAATTTCGATATTTCATGGAAAGTTTGATGCAAAGACGAGTGAAATGGCATGGAATTTTTAATGTTTGTGGAATTTTTGTTTATTTTTTTTTCGATATATGGAAATTTCTGCTTTCCCAGATGGAAATTCCAAATTTGAAAGTGGAAGCACTGCCTAGGGCTGTGGTGTTTACATAAATTTCATACATAAAATACTCGATTTTAATTTTTAAGCAAGAATTTGAATTATGGCCTCGTATACAGTAACTGCTGAAGATAATTGCAATGAAATAGCCGTGTATAATAAAGGAGAGTTGCTCTGTTTGGTTGTTCACTCTGAAGAGTGTAAAAATATTTGTTTATCTGATTTTCGTTCAAACGTTTTGCTCCAACAAGTACCCGATAACCTGCCTGCAGCGTTTCTGTTTGTTCGACATGTTGGAGAAAAAGAAATTACCATAAACAAGAAACAAGAACACTTGTTCAAGGTTCGTCAGTGCTTAAAATTAAAAGATGGACTCCCCACATTGTACATCAGCGATGAAATTCTTACGCTTTCATCTCAGCAGTCCGTCTCGACACACTCATCGCAATCAAGTGAACGCAAGCGAAAATCACAAGGTCGAGCGACATTGCCTAGTTTTGGATTTAAGATTCCAAGTAAATCATGCGAGCATAGGTTGTCCTTCGCAAAAGCCAGAAATGTCAAGCTGTATTCTGACACTGAGATTCAAAACTCGACCGGTAAAATGAAAGAATATAGAGAGTTTTGGAAGAAAAAAGCGGAAGAGATTTGTAGCGAAGCAGAATTTGAAAAGTTTTCAAAGGCAGCAGTTCATGGTGTAATAAACACGGCGTGGACATTAAAGAAAGCAGATGATATGCTCAGTGAAGCGAAAGACATGGCAACCACGTTAAAAAATGTCCCGATATCGTGGCTGAGCGGCAGTGCAGGTTGCGAAGGCACGCTGTATAAAAATATACAAAGGCTTGAAAGAGCGCGCGAAGATATCAAAGTTGCAGAGAGAAGTCTTACAAAAACTCGACTGGAAATTATTGACATCCGAAAGAGAATGCAAGCAGTTCCTGCTGACGTGAAAGAAAAGATAAAGGAGCTTGAAGGCAAGATTTTACCAAGCCGGCTGACTGAAGTCCGAGCTTCGGAAGAATCACTGAGAAAAACAATCGATAGAAGAAAAGAAATTATCTCAAAAAATTCTAGTTTGTCTTCGGAACTAACAACAGCTGAATTACATGAACAAGAAAACCCCGAAGATCTTTTCAGCGCGTTTGAAGATGAGGAACTAGCCGAAGAAGTCAAGCACGACCATTTTTTCGCAGACTAAACTTTTATATATGGACTGTACTTGTCCTATAGTATAGTACGTACTTAGCATGATTTTGTTTCACTTTCAAAGTTGTTTTGTTTTAATCATCATCTATAGACTATATAGTTACTTTGAGTTACTGTACTTTATAAAGAATAAACCGTTGAATAAACCGTTTCAGATAATTGGTTTAACTGAAACTTGGCTAAAAGAAACTAACGAAGATCTATTTAAACTAGAAAATTATGATTTTGTAAATGTAAACAGGTCAACTAAAAGTGGTGGAGAAGTTGGCATTTATGTCGCAAATGAATTGAAATACAAAATACGCTTCGATTTAAACACAATTACTGAAAATGTAATTGAATCCGTTTTCATTGAAATTATAACAGCTGTAGGTAAAAATATAATAATAGGTGTAATATATAGACCACCAAATAACAAATTTGACACATTTGAAACTAAAATGAATCAAATACTAGGAAAGATAGATAAAGAAAACAAATTATGCTATCTTATGGGAGATTTCAATATTGATCTACTAAAATCAGAATCTTGTGATTACAGTATCAGATTTCTAGAACAACTATTCACATCATCATATATCCCACTTGTACTAAGACCAACAAGAATCACTCAGCATACGGCTACACTAATTGACAATATTTTCACCAATGACACGGAAATTATAGAATCAAGCAAAAATGGGATAATTTTTTGCGATATCTCAGATCATTTACCAATAGTTCATGTACGAAATTCAAAAAAGTACCATAAAAAAACTTCAAAAACTGAATTTTCTTGTAAAAGAATTATCAATGATGACAATGTTGAATCATTTACTAATACAATTAAGAATATATCATGGGAAAATGTACTTTCTGAAAACAACACGACAGAGTCCTACAACAAATTTTTCAACTTATTTTCAATAGCTTATGGAAAAAACTTTCCATTGACAAAGAAAGTTACGAAAAGAAAGATTGACAAAACTCGAAGTCCATGGATGACAAGATGTATTGCAAAATCAGTTAAGCAAAAGAACAAATTATATAAAAAATACCTCCAATATCCTACAGGAAAAAACGAAAAAATATACAAAAAATATAAAAATAAATTAAATCATGTGATAAAAGTGGCAAAAAAGAAATATTATGAAGAACAGTTAATAAATTATAAACATGATACAAAGGTATTATGGAAAACATTAAATGAAATTATGAACCGAAATAAGACAAATAGAATGTTACCAAAAGAATTTAATGGAAATAGCCCTGGAGAAAAGATTACTGATCCAAACACAATAGCAAATAGATTCAATGACTATTTTGTAAATATTGGCCCAGGACTAGCAAAAAAACTCCCGAATTCCAAAACAACCTTTGATAAATATCTCACTAATAACTGTAAAAATAGCTTCTTTATTAATCCAATAACTAAATATGAATTAGAAAATGAGATAAACAATTTGAATGCCAAAAAAAGCCCTGGCTATGACGGTATAAGCTCACAGGTAATCAAAGCGATTGCTACAGAAATTTCTGAACCACTTTCACACATATTTAACTTGACTTTTCTTTCTGGAACTATTCCTGATGATCTAAAAATAGCTCTAGTTACCCCTATATTCAAAGCAAACGAAAACAATGAATTTAAGAATTATAGGCCCATATCTGTTCTCACTAGTTTTTCTAAATTGTTAGAAAAGCTTATGTATAAGAGATTAATTAACCACATAGACAAAAATAACATATTAACACAGCATCAGTATGGTTTTAGGGAAAATAGATCCACTGAGCTTGCAATCATAGAACTTGTTGACAGAGTTACTAAAGCAATCGACAGAGGAGAATGCACGATAGGTATTTTCCTCGACTTGTCAAAAGCCTTTGACACAATTGATCACAAGATATTGATTCAAAAACTTGATCACTATGGTATACGGGGAATAACTCAATTATGGTTTCAAGATTACTTAAAGAATAGAAAACAAATTGTTAAATACAACCAAATTAAATCAAAAGAAATGGTAATTAAGAGTGGTGTCCCACAGGGGTCAATTCTTGGACCAATTCTATTTCCGCTTTATATAAATGATATTGAAAATTGCAGCAAATTAATTTCATTTATATTATTTGCAGATGACACTAATATATTTTATAGTAACAAGTGTCTAAAGACACTTAGTAATATTATACAAACAGAAATTGATGAAGTTGCTGAATGGTTAAATGTGAATAAATTATCTAAATACTACAAAAACAAAAATAATTTTATTCAGATCTCCAAATAAAAAACCAAGTCAAACCATTAAAATTAACATAAATGGTAAAAATATTGAACAAGTTAAAAGTAAAACCTTCCTCGGTATTATCATTGACGAATGTTTGACCTGGAAAGATCATATAGCTAAGGTAGCAAAGAAAATAATTAGAGCTGCTGGTATAATAGCTAAAATACGACATTTCATAAATCGAAATACTCTAAAACTTATATATTATGCATTAGTCTATCCATATTTGATATACGGCAACTTAACATGGGGTAATACTTATAAAAGTCGAATCCAAAAAATAATGAACATACAAAAAACAATTGTACGTCTAATGACTTTCAAGTCTTATTTAGAGCACAGTGAGCCATTAATTTTCAAAGATTTAAATATCCTAGACATTTTCAAAATCAATGACTATTTAACTGCCTTATTTATGTTTCGATACCACCACCTTAACAATTTACCAGATTTCTTTAAAAATTATGTTGTAACAAACAACCAAATTCATGAACATAACACGAGAAATGCATAAAAACTTCACAAATGTTATAAAAGAACAAATTATGTAAAACACACTCTCTCAAATAAAGGAGTTGATGTATGGAATTCGTTAGAAACAAAACTTAATGAAGTAAACTCCTATAACACCTTTAAAAAGAAAATTAAACAACATTTTTTGCTATACACAATTACCAATATATAAAACATACTTCTCTAATGTATATAATGACATATACTTTAGTCTATTGTAGCCCAACATTGTCATTGTAAAATTAAATGCATCTACAACATTACTATTAATTTATATAATACGAACATTCCCACTTCTTTTTCTCTCGTAAATATAGTGTATATACTTCAAAACTTTCTGATTTTACATATTATGTATTGATTGACTGTAAATAATCGATTTACGATTATGTGATAAAACGAACAGTAACTAGAGACCTAAAATAAAAAGTCTATGAAGATTTCTAGTAGGTCTCTAGCCCAACATCTTCAAATTATTGTAATATATTTTAAGTAGATTTTTATACATGGGAAAAAATAATAATAATAAAAAAAAATTAACTTCGAAGAGCCTAGATTTGCCCGCATAACATCAAATTGATGTTTTGGTTGCATGTATGGGTCAAAACTATCATTTTGAAAACATCTTCAGTTGCCATTTCAAGGCTGTCTGGGTGGGTTTAGATAAAAACGTCAATTGTTAGATTTTGATTCCCATGAAATAAAATAGCCATCTCATGTTTCACTGGAATTAAAACCTGACAAATCACGCTTCTGTTCATGAGAATAACCTTTATTTACCACCCTGTAGCAAGTTTATCAAATGATGTATATATTTGAACCTTTATTAAAAGTATGATAGATTCATTTCTGAGTTTTTTAAGGACCAAGAAAAAACTTAACATTTACATGTATTTAATAAAAATGATGTTTTGGAGTTTATACTCTATTATTAGGTTAAAACTAAACTTCAATAACATACATATGTCTTGACAAAACATCACTGATCCATCAGTAACAGCCAGGGGCGTAGGAACCGGGGGGGGGGGGGGGGGGGGGGCCTGCCCCCCCCCAAGTTTTGGCAAGTGCCCTTTTTCCTGCAGCAAAGTGCCCTTTTTTTTGCGTGAAAAATTTTCATTAAAAGTGCATTTTTTGCGCAATGAGCACTTTTTGAAAACTTCAATCTCTGTTATTTCCGGAAAAATGTTTGAATTTTCGGGAAAAATATAATATATGGGGCAAATTTTCGGGTTTTCCGGAAAATTTTCCTCTTATTTAGGAAAAAAATGTGGAATATCCGGAAAATTTTTTAGGGTATGTCTGGAAAATTTTTTTGACCCCTAAAATGGTACACTGACCGAAATTTTTTTGGCGACGTGGGGGGGGGAGGTCGTCCCAAAAAAATTTTTAGATGCCCTTTTTTTTCTGAAAAGTGCCCTTCAAGGCCTGCCCCCCCCCCAACTTTTCAAAGCTTCCTACGCCCCTGGTAACAGCAAGCTATGACTGTGAGCAAATCCTGGGAGTATGTTCCTGGGTAATTTGACAGAATACAAAAGCAGGCTTTTAAGCCCCTGTGGACTAATCCAAAGCAAATCCCATGTCATACCTGACAGTTGCCCAAAGGTAAACTTTGACAGCCCTCTTGCAACACTGGCAAAGCTGCTAATGCCCGCATTATGCAGAACAAAATGGTAGGTGCATATTTGCCCTAATGGTAGATATTTTATTTGGTGTTGAAAGACTGAAAAAATCTCTTAAATGATACAGAATTTCTCAGGAATACATGAAATTTTTTAGCAGTATTTATGCCACATAATTTTATTCACAAGCTACTTTAATAGTGTACTAAAATAAATATTCCTGTTGTGTAGAGACCTGCATAGCCTGTGTTCATAAAACGTGCACAGCAATAGATAATCATGGTTGACGCAGTGGTGAATGATTATGTCAATTCTGAGATTGTCTGCACTCTAGCTGCTCTTGGTTATACAGAAGACAATGAATATTACAAAGGAGATGACTGCCTAGGTGAGGGTTTTAGGTTGTAGTATAAAAACACATTCACACAATTACAGTCTGAATACAAAAAGTGTTCCACTTTCACTTTAATACTGTAATTTGTTCTGTTTTTCTGAAGCGGTTACTGTTATATTTTGCACCTTTTATACAATGAATCTTATGAAAAATGCATCTTTTCCTACAAATTATCATATAAAGGAAGGAAACTAAAATTTATCGCGGTATTTGCCGATAAATCGGTAACCGCTACAGAAAAACAGAACAAATTACTGTAATTCACAACAGACTACAGAAGCAGAAGTGGGACACTTTTTGTATTCTGACATACATGCTTGAAAGTGAATACATGCTTGAAATCACCAAGATTGCATGTATTAGCAGAAATTTCCATGAGAAAAACAAACACAAAAATAGTGAAATCAGTGAAAAAGTTATAAATTCATATTTATTTCTGCATGCCAAGATGCTCTTGTTGATTTTGTTGTTCTGGTATAATTGTTGACTTTTATATACTGTTGTTTTGTTTTAAAATGTTGTTGTTGGAGTCAGTGGTGGACACTTCACGAAATATTGAGGTGGTAAAATTTTGAATATGTATACCAAAGGGGTCACTTGGTGAAATGAATAAAGAGTCCCGAGTTGTGCCATTTGACTGATCTTAGATACTGTACTTTTTCAGTAGACTTTTCCAGTAATTATGTCACAACTACATTGTTTTCAACTTAGGACCACCTTAAATTTAACCTTAAATGGAAAGGAGTTCAAGTTTTTTTCTTACTGGCTATGCGCAAAGAAGCAGAACATCCTACTTTAACACATGCATGATAAAAAATTTATTATTTTGACCAATAAATGCGGGAATAAGCTTTGACACGGAAACGAGGCTGAGGGGCCCAAAGGGGCCGTGGCCCCTCAGCCTCGTTTTCGTGTTAAAGCTTAGTCTCACATTTGTTGGTCAAAATAAAAAAATCTTTTTCATGCATGTGTTGAAGAAGGATCCATTCCATTTAAGGTGGTCCAAAGTTGAAAACAATGTAGCTGTGACGTAATTACTGGAAAGGTCTATTAGATAATCAATTAAGCATGTCGATTAGACGGATTAGCATTGTTGTTTAATTAACGTACATTACAGTTATAACTATCAATTCAAATGGTTCAAATTTTGTATCAGTAGAGCTGTAAGGAATCTTACACAGAACGAAACAGATTGTATGAAATACGTATGTTGTGGCATCATTGGCATGCATTATACAGAATTATATATTGCTTGCTATATTGCTAACTTAAGATTAAGTTTTATTTAATATAGTCATTATTTAACATGACAATTACGTTATGTGGGTGTGATTGCATGCTTGCCACTTGCTCCTAAACAATGCTTGTGAATTGTGATATTTTGTAGCAGACTTTTATAGGTCTTTCAACATTAGTGTCCGCCACTGGTTGGAGTAGCTTAGTGTCAGTGTCTTAGCTAGAAGGCCGTGTTATCCGTGTTATCGCGGCCAAAAATGTAAAAACACGGCTAGATGAAATGATCGCGGCTTTATTATTTATTTTCGGCCGTGCATGTAGGTTCATAAAATAAGGTGTTGCTACTTACAACATACAGAATTTCTTTGTAAAATCTACTGTAGTTGTTGAAATTGGTAAAAGTGACCTGTGATGTTTTAATGTTTTGATGGATAATGGGCACTGTATGGTTGTTAAAATGGCTTTAAATACCCCCAAGAATTGCTAAAATAATTTATTATAATGTCAGTGCGAAATATGAGAGTATGCTCGCCTTGTATTTGGTTGAAAAGCATAAACCAACCACAGGTATAGTCTATTGTTGACAAGCATAACTGGAATCGTGTTTTTGGCTATTCAAGGTAATTGGCATGGGCACACCCTGGAAATTTAGAAACACGCCCAAGATATAAAATGCTAGCCAAGACCCTGCTTAGTGTCCACCACTGGTTGGAGTGACATGATAGTAGTTTGTATTGGTTAATGGGGTTTTTGCTGGATTCGATTAGATGGTGTGGCCAGGGGCATGGCAGTGAGCTTCTTAAATATCTGGAGTCCGAACTCGAGTCCAAAAAGTGAAGATTTCATACGAAGATTTCATTAATTGAGATAATTACTAGAGTATAAACTATCCGGCTGAAAAATAAAACAGCCAAAAGTGACATTATTAATGGCGTGCACCAGGTATCTTTCCTGCAGCATATAGGCACTAAGCAACGATGTAAAATACATTAGGAAAAACCGCTATTCCATACAATTACAGTGTACATGGTTTAACAGGTCCACATTTAAAAAAGTTTAAATTTCCACAGTGCAACCAAGGAGAAAATGTGTGAATTATGTACATTTACATGCATGTGAATAATTTCCATTTGGCAATTTCCTAGTGTAAGTAAACTTCGCGTTATTTGTGTTCATATACAGTATGTCAATCAGGTTTCATGTTTTAGAATGTCTGAAAGATTTAATCCGTTTCCTGAGAGTGGATGATGCTACATGTGAAATCAGGCGACAGTTAGGGCGATCACAAGCTGTGGAGAAGGTACTGTTCCATTTTTGGGTACACTAAACATACAAACATCATTTTAATTAAGGCTCTTCGTGTTCGCTTTACGGCCGTCATTGATCGACAGGAAAACTTTGGTCATGCGCGTATGAGGTACTCTAGGGGGAGAGTCTCAAATTTCGAAAGTCGGGTAAAATTTCTAATCGATTTGGGCAATTTTGCCTCGTTAGTTGTAAAATGATAATATGGATTTTGCAATGCGCAAACAAGTAATATTTCCAATGTAATACAGGCATAACGAGTTGGTTGTTCCATTGCTTTTCTTTGCCTAGAAGCGTGGCATATAAATATGAGTAATCATGCTTTGAATAAGGATGACGGTGCCAATTTGCCAGAGGAATACATGCATCTCATTGGCAGATGACGTCATCCCTTGGGTATTTAAGAAGCCACGATTGCATCTTTAGATCACCCCTGATGAAGACACTAGACTGAAGTCAAGTGTCGAAACGTTGGGTCTTGATTACAATTCGACTGGGCTTTGTAATCATTTATTTAAACCAGAGTAACGAGCGAAACATGATTGATATACCTGGTTGCAGTGAACGAACAAACTTTAAAGTGTAAATTGTTAGACATTTAATATCGGTAATTTCTGTCTGCAATTCGTCCAGCAAAGTAGTATCTGCCCTCTTCATTTCTTGCCCGTGCGCCTTAGGTTCAACTTCGGTCGAACAGTTAAGTGTCTTACATTACACTTCAGCTAATGCGTCAGCAGAGAAAGGATGGTCATATGCAGGTAGGTTGTATATTCACTAATTTTTTGCATTAACCATCTTTGTTATATAGGATCTCATTCCCTTGCTAAGCAGTTGTACGCCGAAAGAACATGATATTTTTGATGTTTGTATTCGGTAAGCTTTGTTGTGAAGTAGTGTTCCTTGACCTACAGTTAGCGTGCGTTAGTTCGTTAAGCCCTTCGCCCCTGCGGATCATAGGCCATCGAAGATTCCTCTCCAGCGCACACGATTCTGGACCCTTCGTCCTACAGGGTATGTCTGTCCCACGAAGTCCTTGCTCCTTCAACTCATTTTCCACATCTTCCATGCAGCTGTTTCATGATCGACCTCTTCTCTTTTCAGTTTCCCTGCGGATTCCAAGCCAGAGCCTGACGTGTGTTCGCCGGTTTGCGCATTCAGTGATGTAACTTAAGTATTTTTACAACTTGCCATCAGGGCAAGTTGAACATAAAAATTGGTTTCCCGGAATAAAATTCAGTTGCAACAGTATCTAGTTTTGCCCGCACATATTAACAACATTTGAAGAAATTGATTGTATTGAGAATTCATTAATCACCACTCGATTATCATGTCTTCCTGAACAAATTCAATTGAAGACTTGAAGTGTTGATTTCAGCTGCTTTATTAATAAGAAAACAACAAAACTGTATACCATAAACAAGGAAACAATTTTAGTGCAGCAAAACAACTTTCCCGATCGGGCAACCAAGAAGCAACTTGTAGTTGCTCGTGATGATTTTTACTTGCCCTGAGCAAGCGGGCAAGCATTAAGTTACATCACTGGCATTGCATGGCCAATCCAGCCCCATTTCCTTCTCCTTACCTGCGGCACCACCGGCTCCTTGACCCACAGTTATCGGCGCAATCGGCACTTAATTTTCCAAAAACTTTCCAAAAACGACGAATGCTCGCCAAAAATTATATTACGATTTGAACCTGATTTCAAACAGCGCAAAGAACATCTGATGTCAGTTTTGTGAAGAATCGTGCTTCTATATGTGTGTGTCATAAAACCATTGTGAATCGTTTAGGTTAATGGTAAACCTCACTCAACCAGCAATGATTTGTTTTGGAAAAGTACCAAAAGAGAAGATGGAACGTCACTGGTTTCTAGAAGTTACATCACATCTGCAGTCCTACAAAGAGGTACGTACATCTCCTCAGTTTGATATTGTATAAAAGTGGTGTTTGTGGCTTTTTTGATTGAAGGTAATGTATTCAGCTTTCTTTTAGGCATTTGCAGAAAGAGAAATAATGACCGTAATTGGAAGAGAACTGGGACGTTTACTACAGTTGGTGAGATCATCTTTATCATATTATGAAAATAGTCGAAGGGTCTTGTAGATGGAAATTATCGAGTGGAAATTTATATACATTTAATAGACCTAACCAGGAACAGCTGCGAAAAATGCAACTATAGGTCCCTGGCAGGAATCAAACCTGCGGCCCTGCGTTCCGGTGCAGCGCTCTAACCAACTCAGGTACAGAGGCCGTTCTTGATTACGTCTAATAAATGTAGCAGCTGTTCCTGGTTAGGGCTAATAAATGCATATAAATTTCCACTCGATAATTTCCATCTACAGTACAAGAACCTTCAACTATTATTGAATTGAATCCAGGTGATCTTGATACGCGGAAAAGTACTGGCACTAGTTGTCAAATAGAAATCCATTTTATGATTAAAACAACTGAACATCTCCTGTAATATACTTTATTTCGATTCCATATTTTTGTCAGAGCTATAGTTCTCATAATCAAACATAATTACAAAATTTCAACTATAGTTTCATAAAGAATAACGAAAGATATAATTGACTGAATACATCAAAATGGATTTCTATTCGGACAACCCTTTCTGAGCGCTGATTGGCTAAAATACGAACACGAGATCACCTGGATGAGATGCAAGCAAAATACATGTAGATGTACTACTGTACATGTAGATAGAGAGTTTGAGCCCATAGCATTGCAGACCACGCTCAAGTATGATTGCACCTGGTACTGTATCAATGCTATAGGGCTGACAAGTCTTATTCGTTGTTTAAAATTACTTTCCAGGAGTGGGATAACAGAGAAGAAGAGGATACACTTCTGATTGAACGAATTCTCCTCTTACTCCGAAATATCCTTCATGTTCCCGCAGATCCAAAAGCTGAGAAGGTTTGAATATATTGCATGTGCTGTAAACTTCATGCGCACTTTATCAGATGACTACGAAGGTGACCTTAATAGTTACTGTATCTACTGTACAAACAAATGGCGTGAAATGCACTTTTAGCGTTGGACTTTCCAAATATTGCTCATTCAATATGAACGATAGTGTTACAGCTAAATAAATTTCAGATATTAAGGAGTTTAAGGAACCATTTTAATTCAGTTTTATCTTACTTCAGAGGACAGATGAAGATGCTACAATCCACGATCAAGTTTTGTGGTGTGTTATATATTGCGCTATATACATGGTTTGTGGGCGTGGTTTATGGATATTCTCCTCCGTTTCATTAAATACAGCATATAAATGTGTTTTGTTTCTGTCCGCCATACTTGAACTTTATACATAAGCTTGCATGAAGATTGGCTCAATGTACTTAGACCGCTAACAAAATATACCGTAGGGATTCTTTTTACCGCTCTACGTACTGTAGGGTGCCCATTATAAAATTATTAACTTGTAAACGTTGCCGCCCCATGGTAATGTATGTAAATCTTGGTCATGTACTGTAAATCCATCCCTGCATGTGAGTCGGAATTAGTTCGCACTTTCAAAATTCACAAAGTCGTACTATTACAGTATAGAATACATGTATTTTAAGGTGTATTTATTATTGTCTGCAGTCGGTTTTTTTATCGCAACTTTCGTCAAAAATTCTGAAATTTGTCATTAAAAGATAAATTGAATCCTCGATGAGATACATATATATGACACATTGAAGTTTGAAATCACTGTATACAGTACAAGAATTTGATAGCAGTTAAAATGATCTCTCAAAAGAATTGGGAATAACTGCAATTGACTTTGACTTTCAAATTTAAGTTCTCATGACTCTTGAAAAGGTCATAAACCTTTTCAAAACTGTTAATTATTATCCGTGTATATATAGCAAGTAACTCTCCTGATCAAAGACTGAACCAAAGGATTTAGAATGTCTTATGTCGTTTTCTTATACAATATATTCTCTAGGAATTTGCATGCCAATGGTGTGGATGATCTGATATTGTACGTTGCCAGTTCTCCTGATGAGGTATGTACAATGTACAATATTAAGTGTATCAGTGCTGTATTAAGTATATTACTTAACAAATATAAAACATTTTCCACATTTCAGGGCTCGAAATAACGGCCGATCAACGATCCATGATCGGCAGGAAATTGTTTTTGATCGGCGAAGAAGCAACGTTGCCGTTCATCTTGATCGGCAAGAAATATATTTGACCATTGTCTGAAGAACATGCTTACTTGTACGCGGTAAAAGACAAATAAAAATAATATGAAACACATTCAAAAACACGCGAAAAACTCTTGTTTAGTTGATACGAGTCATACAACAGGCCGCAATGCTATGAAGTATTGTCGTCTCTTCAACAGTCTGCAATCCAAACCACTGACACAAACGTCTTTGTCATAATAATTTCAAATTGATAGGATTTTTTGAGTAGTATTTTTTATTTTTAGTAGGTTTTTCTCTTTTAATATGAAATAATAAGTTTTAGTTCTTAATTGATAATGCTGCTGTGTTTCTTGCTTTTGGGTGAAAAAATACAATACTATAATTAAAACTAATTGAACTAAAATTTATTACTGTAATACATGTTATATGTTGTTACACTATTAGTATTGTCAGTATTGTATACTGTATATATAAAGTCCACAAATGTCATAGATTTAATTATTGAAGTTAAATTTCCTGTTCAGATGTGTATTTAATGGCATATTTAGGAAATGAGGGCAAATGCTCCTGATCGGCCAAATTTTTATTTGATCGGCAAAAAGTCGTGATTGCCGATCGCTGTGATCGGGAACGTTGGGAACGTTATTTTGAGCCCTGCATTTTCTCGTTTTCCCAATTTCCACGAGTGTTGATATAACTGCATGTATATCAATACGTATATCAATACGGTTACTTGCGCTCGTTGAAGACGTGCAGTAATAGTTCAACTACCAAACAGAGGACTTTACCGGCATCTTCAAGTCCGAGCACGTTTTGAAAAGGCAACATTTTAATGCATGGAGAATTTTAAATCCCGGTTAAGTCCGAAGTCGAGTATTTGAACTCACTTCTCAAACGTTGCGATTTGCATATATAGTTTTAAAGTACTAGAACTTTGAAATTGTGTAAATTCTGATTTCAAAGTACAGGGTACTATTAACAAGAAATATACGTGCATGCAGCAATCCCTCACTCATATACGAACTAAGCAAATATTTCCTAAACATTGTTTCAAAATGAAGTATTAATATTGAATCATTTTTGCTGCACTCTTGTGCCAAGTGTCTGCGCTGACAACTTCTCACTTTTTGCGCACTTTTTATTTTTACAGAGTAGGTGGTGCATGCATGCGCTGGAGATCATTTCGCATATGCTGCGCGAGCAGGTTAGTTAATTTATCTGTTGAAGGGTTTTTGTAGATGAAAATTCGAGCGGAAAATTAAATATAATTTTTAGACCTAACCAGGAGCAGCTGTGGAAATGCAATTGTAGGCCCTCTTTCGTGCAGGTTGCTCTATAACCAACTGAGCTACAGAGTCCAGTTGTCGAGCTCTAACCACACTACCGGGTGCCCCCCCCCAAAACCTGGACACTTTGATTTCATGTAACGTATACGTAAAAGCTATAAAAGCTATCGAAATGAAATAAAGATCATTGCATTCAGAAAGGACTAACTTAGATTTTGATATAGCACTTGAATTTACATGCAATATTGACTGCGCTATCGATGTTTTGAACGTTGAACTACTGTTTTTATAATTACCGTTTTTATAATTACCGTTTTTATAATTACCTTATAATTACCGATGTAGTTATACTTGTTAAATAATAAATATTTTGGTTGTATCTCGCTTAATATTGCAGTTAAATTCAAGTCAAAATCTAAGTTAGTCCTTTCTGAATGTACATCAGTACATTCAGAAAGGACTAACTTAGATTTTGACTTGAATTTAACTGCAATATTAAGCGATGGTATATTGGCATCACCCAGTATATATACTGTATAACGGGTGACTCCCAAAAAACTGGACACTGTTTGATTTCATTTAACGTAAAAGCTTTCATTTAACGTAAAAGCTGTAAAAGCTATCATAATGAAATAAAGATCACTTTATTTCATTATGATAGCTTTTACAGCTTTTACGTTAAATGAAATCAAACAGTGTCCAGTTTTTTGGGAGTCACCCGTTATACAGTATATACTGTATACTGGGTGATGCCAATATACCGTAAAGGCGTAAGGCATGGGTAAATATCGATATTTTTAGTCATCTCGCACGATAGAACTAACAGCTGAATGGTTCTTGTAGATGAAAATTTCTAGCGGAAGATTATATACAATTTTTATATATAATCTTTCGCTCGTAATTTTCATATGCAAAAACCTTTCAGCTGTTATAGTTCTATCTGTTATAGTTCTATCAGAAAATTTCGATAGTTAAGTTATCCTACTTTTGCCATCATTCAGATTACATCAACAGTTTGTAATTTGTATAAGACTTGATGAAATGCAATTGCGATTAATGCCTTCCATCTGCTAGCCCGGGTCTTCATCAGCGCAAATATTATTAGTGCTTACCAAGCCCATTTGCATACATTCACGGTCTGTTTATATGGACCCAGCTAACCAGGAAACTCGCCTGTTAATGCGGGTAAATATCATTGTGTGTTGATATGAGAGATGAGACTATGTAGGTGTCACCTCGCCTCGTGCTGGGTGGGGTCGCTGGGATAAATGGATGAGAAGTTTTGGTAAGAAATCAATCACGAAAAAGAAACATCAATGGGCATAGACAGACATTAAATTCGTAATATACTGTACAACGAACAGTTTGTTCAATCACAACCATGCAAAAGTATCTCGAAAGCCCTATGCTTACGTAGTTTCGTCTCATTGAGGCGGGATAGCAGATGGGGTGAAAGCACTCATTTGAACACGGAAATATTTTATCCTGCTTCAGCGAGTTTTCCGGCCTCTGGTCTCATATGTACAGTACATGCCCTTGGATGTGAAGAACGGTGGTACTGTACAAGTCCCATCACTGGACAAGAGACTACGAATTTTTTAATGTTTGCCGAAGTGTCAGAATCAACATGACAGCATTTATGCATGTAACTGGCCAAATATAAAAAATAACAATAATGGGATTTTTTAAAATTGTAATTTATAGAAAGCTGATATTGTAGCGAAGACAGCTGTCAGAAGAACGAGAAAAGAACAAGAAGAAGATACAAGGTTTGTGTCACATCTTTGTTATGTTTTTTTTTGCTTGCTCCTTGATAGTAATTTGGAGGTTATGTAATATTTCAAATCCGACTATGAGGACTGGACTAGATTTCAAGTTCGCGCAATTTGATCAAGTCCGAGGCGACGCCGAGGACTGGATCAAAATGCGAGGACTTGAAATCTACTGTAGTCCAGTCCGAATTGGAGGATTTGAAATGACATCTCATGCGAATAAATCACTATTTAATTAATTTTGATCCAGTCCTAGGACTGGATCAATGTACTTCATCAGGTATCCAGTATTATCATGTGAGCAAAATCAAGCAATATGGTTGGCTAATTTACTCATGAATTATTCATGAGTTTGAGATATAATGTTCAAGTCCTGTGCAGAAGCAGGATTTTTTCTCACAGCATGGCTTATACAAACAAGCCGAAAACTAACAACTTGTCAATATCACAGACTGTAGAAAACAACATAACTGATATAGCCACTTCTAGAGCAACATTCTCTTCCCATGCATGCAGGACTCCCGAGATACATGCACACGAGTTCACGCTCGTTGTGCTTGTCGTTGAGTTTCTTGTCATCGAACTCTACCAACAAAGCGTGACGCTAGCTTATGCTATCTCCATGATTCCTTTACTACTCTCTTTTGAATAGGTTAGAAATTTGTTCGTGCTTGATTTGAAATTTATTTTCTTATAGAGAACTTGAAATTATGTATGAAAGAGAAAAAGCTTCAAAGAACAGTGCGTCCCAAAAAGGCATTAGGTACAGTAGGTGTTTTCATTCGTTGTTGAATTGTAGAGAAATAGACCTTACTGTTTACTCCCCCAATGGCCTCGTTTCCATGTTTACGTGTTTTAGCCTGGCAGGCGCACAAGATGGTTCTATCCCCATGTTTCGTGCACGAACACAGTATGTTTCTCATTGATCTTGATCCCAATCACAAACCTATCCTTAAACCTATATTGTACACGAAACATGAGGAAAGTAACTACATGAAAACGAGGCATGCATTGGGGCAAGAAATTTGTAATATCGTTGTACTTCTATCCATTCAAGATAAAAAGTTGTGTATTTTTAAACTGATATCGCCTGATGCAATACTCCTGCTAAGTCTGATTGGAGCTGTCTACAATAAAAATTATGCAGTTTCCAAGAAAGTTTAAATGAAAGTTTAAAACGTTTTCGAAAATTGTTTGCTCGTAATATTTCGTTGACCACCCAACTAGTTGTTTCCGTACTATATAATTTATAACAATTGAGAAGGTTGGTGAATTTCAAAGACTTTTACAAGAAATTTAGGGTCGGTATGTACCCAAGTCTTTGCCTTACTAAAATTTAAGATAAAAATGACACGTTTCTCACCTTTGATATAGACACTCGAACTTTGGTGGAACTTACTACATGCAAAACCTCAAAGCTTTAAATGATGAAAATAAATTGCTGTATCACAAACCCGTTCAACGTAAGTTTAGCATACACAACAACAGCAGCAGGAGAAACAACAGCAACGACAAAACAACCACAGCAACAACCACCGCAACAACAACAGCAGCAGCGACAACAGCAGCAACAGCAGCAGCAACAACAGCGGCAGCAACAGCAGCAACAGCAGCAGCAACAACAGCAGCAGCAACAGCAGCAACAACAACAACAGCAACAACAGCAACAACAGCAACAGCAACAACAGCAGTAACAACAACAGCAGCAACAACAACAGCAGCAGCAACAACAACAGCAGCAACAGCAACAACAGCAACAGCAGCAACAACAACAACAGCAACAACAGCAATCAGGGGAGGTGCAAAAATTCTCAGGGGAGGTGCAAAATGATCTCAGGGGATTTAGGGATGCGTTTGGAATGCTATGGAACGCATTTAGGGATGCGTTTGCGAGAGTGTAAGTAAAGTCGAGAGTTAGCAACAGCAACAACAGCAGCAACAACAGCAGCAGCAAC